TACGCAACATCTTAGCTTTGAACCACAACATTCTCTGTGCTACATGCGCAAGGGCTCCCAAGATTTATACAATGATGTCGCTACACACCTACCTTTCATCTCAGATGACTATGCTTGGTGTCAATACAGGCGAACATGCGGGTCCCAGGAAGTAATTGAGAAGAAGAAGATTCGATCGCTGGGACCCGGCCACACATTCGAATTTAGTGAGGCCGAAATTCTCGCAACGGATGATAATCGCGTGAGCCAAGAAGAACTGGAGTCATGGTTCACGGGCCCCCAGGCCATAAACAAGTGCAACGATCTGCCCAGTCCACAGTCAGTGCTGAGGCTCAAGTTGACCAAAGCAAGTGGCCACTTGGGGAACACATAGGCCCCCACGTCGGCTTTCGCTAACATCAGCGTACCGGGTGGCCGAATAATCATCAGGTCCAATTCCACCACGCGTAATACAAGTTTGGCCGGTCACGGCCCTCATCATCAAGCAATCCACGCACAAAACGGCGACAGTCGAGAAAAAGACGACTGGATAGCTGGGACAATACTTGTAATCGCCCGGCGTTTCGAGATCCGTCGCGGGTTCGTCATTAAAGACGTAGTCTCAGTGCAGTAGGGCAATTATCGTTAACTATCGTTACTTGTCCTACGTATGCAGTAATGACTGTGTCCTATAAATACTGCAACTTCCTGTGCATGTATCACCCGTTTCTGCATCTTTTTACTGCTCATGTCGCTGATGAACAATCCGCGACGGAGGTCGAAACGCCAGACCAATAAAAGTGTTGTCCCACCGATCGAATCTTCTTCTCTAGCCTTGGTGCTTTAGCGGCTTGATGGCTGACAGAACCTGCCATGCCTTTCTGCACTTTTACGAACCATGTTGTTAACATGAAAATCTCGCCCTGTAAACAGTGTTCGCCGTCGCGCATTCCGCGTGGGTAGGCAGTCTGTGCAGGTCAACTCTTGTGGCCGAATAGGCAGGGAGGAGGGTGTTAACTGACCTTGGGAATAGAGCGCGTTTCGCGGGTCACACGATCGATACCCCTCTCGAGAAACTCGGCGTCCTCAGACTCGCCTCAGAGTCGCCATTTTAGAGTTGCTGTCGTTTGAGCGCGCAGCTGTTGCGCGCATGCAAACACTGTTTCCAGCGATAATGACGGGGAGTCAGGCGGCTGAACATATATCACACCAACAGAGATGCTGAAACTGTGGCGATTAATGGCTCGGATGCGGACTGTCAGGCATCTACAGCACCAGAAGCCACCTACCTCGATGCAGATGAGCCATTAATTCCGGTTGTTATGAGGTGGCATAGCGACCACACATGCTATAACTACTACAGTTCCCTGTGCACGAATGGGTTCGGACAAGAATCCGAAAAATCAGACAAATAATTTTTTGTCCCAGCAAACGTGTCGACGTCTTTTCAACTGTTTGCCGTGATTTATATGTTTGCTTGCACAAGTGATTTAGTTAATTATCGGTGCCAAGTCATAGTCTATATGCAATCACGCTAGCTTGGCTGACATGCGTAGGTTTTCGGGGATGGCAGATAACGTATGATTATTTAGAAGATTGAGAAAAAGACGTCTCGATCGCTAAAAGATTGTAAATCCATGGTATCCCCTGATTATACGAGAAAGGCCATCTTGTGGTAAATAACTCTACTCTTACTTGTCATAAAATACTCTCTGGAAGATGGGTTACCACCAATCGATCACGGGACTCATTCGTCTCGTTTTGCTTTTTGACTGAAACTAGAGCCCGGCCATCAATCGTAGCATGCAGGAGTTTTTTGAGGAAAGAAGGAAGACTGAGAAGAAGACCGCTGGGACAAGACTTTTATTCTGATTTGACCCATTTGTGAAAACTTCGAGGCATTCGGCGGCATTTCAGCCCGCGTAGTAGAGAAGTCCTTTACCGGAAGCCAACGGTCTAACCACTGATCTACAAATGCCGCACCTCGCGCCATGAACTTAATCACACATGTGTCGATAGAACCGGCCCAACTGTGCCGCTCCTATGGAATCCACAAATATGGAACAGCAAGCTGACAGCCAAAGCAGGATTTCCTAAGCAATCATCGTATTGGTGGATTCCATACGAGCGGTAAAGTTGGGCGGGTAATATCGACCCAAGTGCGATAAAATTCATGGCGCGAGGTGGGGCGTTTGTAGCTCAGTCTTTAGAGCGTTGGCTTCCGGTAAGGGTCTTCTCTACTACGCGGGTTCAAATCCAGCCGAACGCCTCGAGTTTCTCACAATTGGGTTAACTCAACTTAAGCAAATCTGCCAAACCTCCTAGGACTTTGATTCGCCTTACTTTTCGGCATTCATCGCAGATTCTTCCTCAGAAACGTCAACAGGAAACAGTAGCAGAATGAAGACTCATTCGCCCTTATCAGCCAGCCGCACCAGCATAGGCTTGATACGACCCCTAAGACTCAGGGAGCGCCAATGTACCATTGTTAATCATACAAAACGAAACCGGCAGGATAACGAGCCCGTGGCTCAACGGTTCGACCATGTGACAGGTGTTCGAGCATCAGATGGTTCAAAATCCCGGCGTTTGGTAGGGCTGTCTGAAAACGGTCAATAAGACTGAAATGGCCGTTCCAGTCTCTCAGTTCTGTGTTGGCAATCTTATTCGTCATCACTTTTTGTAGGCCGAAATTTGCTGTAAGATTGCGACCTTTGGCGGTAGGGATGACCTACTGTGAATCGTTCGAGAGCCGGCTTCCTGACATGACTGAAATATCTAAGCAATTAGGTTGCACGATATTAAATATTAGAAGCCTACATTTGTTCGAACCGAAAACACAGTTTTGGCATTTCAGTTGACCTGTAATGAGATAGGAAATGTACTGTACAGTGAAGTACCATATCTCACAAAGATGTAGCGTAGCCGGAGAACGCCTGCCAACGGTCAATGTTAACCGCATGTTGGTCCACTCTGACTAGAACGCATCGCTTGGCTTACATATTTCCAGATCAAATGTTGCCTTCTTCAAATCCGCCAGTCATCCACAGGTCTACGATTGAGACAGAAGTGACGTTTGACGGCAACTAAGACGGGTGAATTAGCACAGCCCCTCACGCATTTGTCGATATCGACTCACAGTCACCAAAATCCACTGTTTAACATCTGAATTGATGATTTAGACATGCAGTTGGGTTAACAAAGCTTTAAGCAGCCATTGAGTGCTTTATGTAAATATTGTTCACACTAACGGTTTCTCGCCATTGCGTTTGAAAGCTACACCAAGAGTTTCACTGATATTAATTGGTTTATTCGAAAAATCAATTTGTTTTGTAAATGTTTTGAAATCCTCGCGCGATTAGTTAAGTAGCCGTACAAATCTAGCAAGCAAGGTAAATAAGGTAGTAGTTTCCAACCCGGCTGCTTGGAGCAGTTATAAGACATGATATCTCTGGAAAGCCAAACCCGTAGCTTACGATGTAAGCATATATTAACAAGACCCACCAGGCAAAAACTTTAATTTATCTGTCATTGATCTTTGCTAACAGTAAGCATAGGGCCATAGTCTAGTATGTCGACAACAAAAAATGCTGGCCGGTTATTTTGTTAAGTTCTCTTATAATACTAAAACAAAATGATAGGTAAAAACAGTCGAAAGACTGACGATCGTAGTACGGTGTTCCGTTCAGACTGCTGCTACAGAAGACGCTCAGGAATAAATTCTCACAATTTAAAGGCATTAACACCAATCCCTTACCAAGATCCAGTAAAATTTCCATTAGAAACACGCACTCCAAAACTGCGAATCGGCTGTAAATATCTTGTTGCCATTTATTCCCTTCCCTCGGTACAGGAGCGTTTCGCAATCCGTTATGGGATGAGACCGTGCTGATGGGGAAATGGAATGCAGAGCTATTAAAGGTTTCAGTGGTTTTTATTTCCTCGCAACGCCATGGTAACCAGCAGCTGACCTGGTGCTTCAATGGCAAAACGGCCAAGGCCACGCCGCCAGTCAAGCTGACTCTCACTTCTCCCGACCACACATCCTCGCTCTTTCTGCTAAGGTGTCACATGTGATAGGACTGGCAGGATTGTTCGAATGGGCTGACCTCTTTTTTGGTGGGATCTAGGATAGAGACGGTTTAATCGCGTGTTAGTGAAGCTAGTCGGTGTGCCTCTTCTTTGTTGACACCGCTCTAGCAAAACCCTCTTCAACGTTCTCTCCTAGCGTCAGCCTTCGCATATCCCATCTCCGCAGTTGTCCATAATGCTGGCGGACATTTCGGTGTCGTCCTGCTATCCAGACACATCATGGAATGTATTCTGGGCTTGCTTAACATATCTGGAGGTTCGTTGGCTTAAGCATTTAGTTGCCATACGTCTGAC